TGCTTCACATTGGTTTTGTGACTCAAATGCAGCCAGCCAGATGAAGAGAGTCATAAACTTGGCTAATAGTCATAATCTGACTAGTGTTGCTTCTGTTTCTTTATCATTATTTTTTGAATGAGAGTTCTATGACATTTCACAAAATGAACGGTGTGCAGCAGTTCTACAGGTTTATAGATCAAAATGTTTCTCCTTCAAGCCAGATTCGAACCAGGGACCTAAGGATTTCAGTAGATAGGCCTTTATAGACCTCCGCTCTACCAATTCCATTTAAATTGGGGGAGAAGAGTTCATAAAACAAAGTCTGGAGACATAAGGATAATTATTACAAATATATTTAAAAAGACATTTTAAACTATTAATTACTTACCGTGGGATTTAGCCATGTGATTGGAGATGGAAAGATGGACTCTGCCATGTGATTGGTGTTTAAAAGATGGAGCTGGCTTGTGTGATTGGTAGTAAAAAGATGGGTTTAGCCATGTGATTGGAGATGGAAAGATGGACTCTGTCATGTGATTGGCGTTTGAAAGATGGACCTGGCTTCCAGCGTTCCAGTATGGTTGTGCGGAGGTGCAGCCCTGTTTATTTGTTCTTTAGAACATAAGTGAAACAATCAGAAAGTAACATTTTAACTCTGTGATTCACTGGTTTGCTCTTGCTAGCGCTGCTCTCTCTCTCTCTCTCTCTCTCTCTCTCTCTCTCTCTCTCTCTCTCCCCCCCCCCCCGGTCGACCACTGCTGCTCGCTCTCTGTCCCTCTCTCAGAAGTCGCTTGTGAATTTATGGCACGCAGTGAAGTTTATAACTTTAAAAAGAACGGTTCGTAACCCTTCATTCCTACACAAGCGCACACTGGCAGCAATTGTCATGCTGTAAGTTTGAATTTGAGACTGATAAGACGCTTTTCTGCTGAAACTGTGATGGTCAGAAAAAACTCTTAAATGCCAAAAACTCGGGGATAGAAACTGTTTGAGGCTTCTGAAAAGACATTTAAAACAAACCTTTGGAGTTTCTTAAATTAAAAAAAAAAGCTTCACATTGGATTTGTGATTCGAATGCAGCCACATGAAGAGTCATAAACTTGGCCATGCCGACTCGTGTTGCTTCTGTTTCTTTACCATTACTTTTTAAAAGAGAGCTCCAAGACATTTCACAAAATGAACGGTGTGAAGCAGTTCTACACGTTTATGGATCAAAATGGTTCTCCTTCGAGCCGGATTCGAACCAGCGACCTAAGGATTTCAGCATTAAGCCTCTACAGTCCTCCGCTCTACCAACTGAGCTATCGAAGGGAACTGACAACCCGATCGTGACAGTACCCTTTTATAGCCAGTTGGGGGCAGTACGTAACGTACCTAGGAAGTGTTTGTATTACTGACCGCTTAACACATGTAATTCTCACCAGTCAGCCCTCTTCAGACAGTCCACCTTGGCTCCTTCGTGGAGAAGGTAGACAACACAAGCCTTGTGACCCATGGACGCAGCTTCATGTAGCGGCCTTTTGTAGTCGTTGTTGCACACTTCCACATCCAAACCTAGGCGCTTTATGAGGTACTCCACGATGTCCAGGTGCCCGTGTCTGGCAGCGTAGTGCAGCAAGGTGTCTCCTGACCGACCGAAGTGTTTGCTGCTGGCAGTCTGAACAGCCACCGAGCCGCCTAATGCTATAAGTTTCTCCAGAGAACTCAGCTGTCCCTCCTGAGTGAACTTCACCAGCAGTTTTAAAGTGTTTTCGTTCATGCTGGGTGACGATTAAAGGCTTCTGGAGCACAGAATTACCGATAAAATATCAGAAAAGAAAAACTCTTACTCTGAGTTGACAGACTGCTGTGAAGCGTGCAAGTGTTTCTTTTTTTTCCGCAGAGTTGCAAAAAAATTAAATGGCCAACCATGACCTTACACTGTTCTGTCTTCACGTACATAAAGCAAATATTCACAAGAAAACAAAAATATTAGGCCCTGTTATACTCATTACTATTATACCGATATGATATGATATGATATGATATGGAAGAGAGCTCGGTACAAATTTAACATAATACGTTTAAAATGAATACAGGCTTTGGTGTGTTTAAATATTTCCATCTTGATTTAAAACGCTGGATAAATGTTCATAGATTATCAAAAGGACGACACATCATCCATGTTTCTATAATGCATTAAGACTTAAAGTGTCTGTTTTTACAGTGTCTTTTCTACTCAAGGAAAGAAAAACAACATTTAGTATGAGCAATCAGCCTTTTGACAACCCAAACATGATAAAGGATCTGTAATGTAATATGACAAACGTTTATACACGGCGCATTTTACAAACTTTCAAATTAGACTACTTCAGGCATGCATTAATAAATTAATGTTCTATAACAATTTCCCCCCCCTGATAAATGTTTTAAAATATAATAAATATAATAATTATAAAACATTATTTCTGAACTTATGGGTCGATATGAGAAATATCCACAGAGACCTAAATAATTTTACTGTATTTTTTTTTATGTGATGAGACAAACTTGAAAAAGTATGGAAGCCTTTTTTGATCTACAAAGGGATCAACTTTAGTTGTCCATTCCAGCTAAATGAACTTGGAATTATGGGGAATGTTGTTTTTGTGACGTTGTCTGATTGGGCTCGTTAAAAGATCTCAAAACTGAAAGACCATTTAGCCCACTTATCAAGTTTTATTAGCATAATAAATAGGCTACCGTCTAAAAATGTTATGACAGCTGCCTGTTAAGTTTAAAATAGAGCGGTGTCAGTGTAACTTTATCATGTATCTTTTATGCTTTTTTAAAAGTTGTCGCTAAAGTAACGAAACAGGAGCAGATCTGAAGAAATGGAGCTTTCATTGCCACTGCTATTATTCTGTGAAATAGGATGAGCTAGTCCTGCTTCTGGCTACAGCGCGGAATCAACGCTGGTGACCAAGATGAGACACATCTGGAGCAAAGAAGAAGAAGAAAAAAACAGTGGGGGAGAAGAAAAGTGGGATTGTTGGGCAGGGTGAGTCTCAGTGCTCAGAGCTTTTACAACATGGACCATGAACACCAGATATTAGACTGGCGATAATCACCATCCTTCTCTCTGGTGAGTACATTACAGACATTTTAAATGTGCTTTAAATTGTGCTGCTGATGATTCCTACATATAACTCAACTGTGACACTAACATTAAAAAAGAGAGCTCTGTTTCCTGCTAAAGTGAAAAAATATCAGTCTTTAAATAGTGAGTCTATTTATCTTTTAATGTCAAAAACAAGTGGAAACTCATGACAGTTTCATAATTCAGTAGGCTACTTTTTCGGAGATAAGATTCAGGGGATTTATACTGTAGCCCATGAGGAGAGCGTACTTTTTAGTTTTTCTCTTGTGTAAAAAATATGAAAAAATTGACTATCCAGGTTAGGAGATTATTTTTTTGAGAGTCACGTTTCCATTATTTCATGAGACATGGTTTTACATTCCATTCTTGGAGATTTACCGTACTTCTTATAGTTAGGGGTTTCCATAAACTTTACCCTAACCTTACCCATACCCTTATCTTACCTTGCTCTAAACCTAACACTATCCTAATCTTTATCAAAGTCTTCATAAAATGTAAGGATTTACATTTTGGACTCACTTTTTGTCCCTAAAAGGAAGTTGAATGGTCCACTATGTAAACAGATTTATGCCCCAACAATATGAGTAATACACTTAATAATGTGCCAAACTTTAGGAACTTCTAAATTATGAAGGAAAAAGTTTTTTAGATAGCCTTTTTTACATGATCAAACATTATTCATGTCTCCTGACTCCTCAAGGATGTCTTCAAAAAGCCATTTAAGAAAAGAAATGTGAGAACCTCCTATGCTGGTATCATTTACTTAACAATTTCTAAAAACCTAAAAAAATACAAATGTCACAAAGGAGTTCAGATTTAGTGGTACTACTCTGCAAAAAAAAAAAACCCACTGACATTGTGACTGTAAATGCACTGAGACTGGGGCACATTACATGTAAGCGCAGGAGAGGCGTGACTGGATTACTTGTTCGAATGCAGGCCAGAGACAGAATGCTAGCCATTTCTGCTTTCTGGAAGGAGTGTATCCAACATGAATGAGTTCCAGATGTTTTGGGCTGCTCTAAACTGTGATAAACATACTAGCAACAAATTCATTTCATATTCTCCATGTCCTGTTTCAGTTTGGCTGACTCTTGAAAATCAGTTTGCATGTTTCTGAAGAAGTGCTGGAAAAAGTTTATTCTGATAGGGAAATTAAAGTGTGCAGTTTACAGCAAGTGATGTGTTACCAATTTAGGCTGAACACACAAATGATGAGGTTAGTGATACACACAAGGAAGAATTAGGGCAAAATGCAGCCACATGTGTTCTTCAGTGTGTTCTTCAGTGTGTCCTGGCTTTGGGCCTCAGTGAGTTCACTGCAGTTCAGGGCACACTGGCAGTTTGTCACAACCATCAGAGAGAGGTGGCAAGTAACTAAGCTGATTTACTCAAGTACTCTACTTAAGTACGATGTTGAGGTACTTGTACTTTATTGGAGTATTTCCATTTCATGTTACTTTTACCCAGCTATAATTTAGAGGGAAGTATTGTACTTTTTACCTACTAGATGCATTTGACATTTTTTTATTTAGATTTGTAACTATAATCAAACAATAAATGAAGATATACTTGTACTTTTGTAATTTAAGCACATTTTAGATCATGTACTTATTACAGTACTTCAATCTGAGGAAAAAAAATGGAATTTCTACTTGCAGTGGAGTACTTTTTCAGGCAAATACATGAACTATTACTTAAGTATTGTGTTTGTGTACTTCTACCACCTCTGCCACTAAATATCAATACATGAAAAATATATATCACAAAATGTATTTCTAGTCTAACTGGTTTATTTTTGTGTTTGGTTTCAATGTGATCACAGCTTTTGGAGCATCGCAGCCTCTGACTGACTGGTTGTCACACTGAAGATATAAATATTTAAAATCAACTCACAATGAGCCTATAGTTTCAAAATTAATAGTGCATTTATTAGGGACTATTTTCAGTGGCATATTAGTACACATTTGGTGTATTTCCAACAGTGATACAATGTAAATAATTTGACAATTCATTGCTGGACAGTGTGTCTCTGAGATTTAAAGACATAATATGAATAAAAGTATATATGTTCTTGCATTGTTAACAGTACAATATGGCAGATGTAAGGTCAGTCTGTATCTCTAGTTGGCAAGAACGTTGTTCTGACATCTTGGTACTTTAGAGACTTCTGTAATGTTATTTATAGAGGTTTGATAAATACATATGAGGCCTGTCAACCTAATTAATATCAAAGATGGTTGAGTTATGTTCAGCTGTGCTGCCAGGTTAATACCCCACTGAGGGTAAATCCATCAACCCTCCATACATCAGCATTATCTCCAAGGAATATTTGTATCTATTGTTCCTTTGAAGGTTAACTTCTCTTGAGTTGCTTTCATTAATAGCTCTCTGTTTCTCCCTCCTTGTGTGTTTTTGCAGATGTGGTTGGGAACACAAATGAAATATGGCTCTCCTCAGAAAAAGTAAGTGTTAGAAAAATTTAACAAGGTGAGACGAAGAAAAACTGAGACTTTTGAAAATTATCAAGATGTCTTTTAATTATTCTTGCAAGAAGGAGCACTACATCAACACTCAAGAAGTCTTTGACAGTAAAGCTCAAAGAAGGGATCCTTTTTGAGTGGCACTTATACAACCTGTTGCAAACTTTATTGCTTGAGTTGTTTTCCTTAGCTCTACCAGCCAAGCATTTATCCTTTCCAGGCGTGGGGATCAGGTCATCATGTGTGTTTTCTTATTGCCTGTGTCTTAACTTCCTGGCCTAAAGAGCAATAAACCGTTACAACAAGCAGGTTCCTATCTTTAGGGATAGGGTGTGGAGCTCAGTCACCCATGAGGAGCTCAGAGTAGAGCCACTGCTCCTTCATGTTGAGCAGAACCACTAGAGGTGGCTCGGGCACCTGCTTAGAATGCCCCCTGGACGCCTCCCCGGGGAGGTATTCTGGGCATGTCCCTCTGGGAGAAGGCCTTAGGGCAGACCCAGGATATGTTGGAGAGACTATGTCTCCCGACTGGCCTGGGAACGCCTTGGGGTTCCTCCTGAGGAGCTAGAGGAGGTGTGTGGGGAGAGGGAAGTCTGGGAGGCCCTGCTCAGGCTACTGCCCCCGCGACCTGGTCTTGGATAAAGCGGACGATGGAGGTTCCTGACTTCTTTAAACTAAAGAGCATCCTTTTACAGTGACTGCACAACATTTGCTCAGAGTAAACATTAGTTACACACAAGAAGGAAAGCTATGTCTAAGCATTTTCCTTATCATTTCCCAATCAGTAAGTGAAAATGAAAGTGTACCAGATATAACATAGCTGATTTATGGTCTCAGGTGACATAAATATACATGAAAAAGAAAAAGAAGTGTGTCTGTCTTTTGTTCCTGTACCTCAGCTGTTTGTTTGTGGTTTAACACTCAGATCAAGGTTTGTCTCTCTAGGGATGTAAACAGGAAAACATCCACCAGCTTGCACCGGCGCACATCAAATGTGTGTGTGTGTGTGTGTGTGTGTGTGTGTGTGTATGCTGGGGAGGGTATGATGAGTTAACCAGATGACAGGCTGTAAGGAGTTAAATTTCATGATTCATTCCAGTGTGTGAACAGCACGTTTAAACTAAATGAAGACTACTTTTGCTTCCAAAAGGAAACTTTACCAAAAAATGCATAGATATAGAAGACCTGAAACAAGCGCTGTCTTCATGAAAAACTGGGCTAATTTCCAAAAATAAGACAGAGAAATCAGTTGAGAAAAATCATAAAACTTCTTCACTGATATGTCCCAAAAAGTCCTTGATTTGAGTCACTGTGTCTAAAATATGTCAGTGCTGCTCAGGTAGCATACTGTCCAGACTTAGTTATGACACCTGGATGAGCAGCCAAACATGAGAAGAACGGCTTGTAAGTGGTTGCAGATGTGTATTTGATCCTCCTTTCTCTCTAGTCTGCCTGACAAGCAGCTGGTGGACACACTCCATACTCAGAATAAAACACTGAAGATGAAACAGAATGTGCACATATGTCTGCTGGTTTATGAGGAAATCACAACTGGAACATACCAGCTCAGATTACACAGCTTTTTATGCTGATGTTTATTGCTAAAATAATTGAAGTCAATCCATTGGAATTTGGCTTATTTATCTCAAGAAATAGATTGATTTGATCTTTTTTTACTGTGAGTCTGAGAAGATAGATACCACTCAGTAAATCATGTGAGTCATTAGGGTCACATGAATCAAGGTGTGGATGGATTTTAAACTGCCTTGGGAGAGATGGCGCTACATCATTGTAAATGGTGTACCACTGGTGGACCACTGTTTAGAGATAATTGTTCCAGTTGGGTGTAGATGGCTTCTTTCACTCCTCTTTCAAACCATCTCTCATCTATGGCCAAGATGTGTACATTGCTCTCTTCAGAGGAATGTCCCTTGTCCTTCAGATGCAGATGGACTGCTGAGTCTTGTTGTGAGGAGCTGGCTTTCCTGTGTTGTGCCGTGCGCTTGTGAAGTAGTTGTCTGATTTCTAATGGCTAAGTATGGAGTTTATTGTGCTGGGGACAGTCCCATTGAGGTTCAAGCCTCTTTCCCAGGGGAGCCGCGTAATGCTGACTAATAATCAAATTGTATTTCATTTGTTTGCTCGCTATTCAAACCTAAACACAAAGCAGTTTGGTTGTAATACAACGTATTAAGGAAAGATGTAAGGTGCATAGTGCTGGTTTTGGACCACTGGTTGGACAAAACAACTCTCCATCTATTCCTTATCTATACCACTTATTAGTCTTGGGCTGGAGCCAATCTCGGCTGACATTGGTCGAGAGGCGAGGTACACCCTGGACAGATCGCCAGTCTATCACAGGGCTGATACTTAGAGACAGACAACGACACACACACGGCAATTCAGAGTCACAGATCAACCTAAATTGCATGTATTTGGAACGTGGGAAAAAGCATGAGTACCTGGAGAGAACCCACAGAGGCACAGGGTGAACATGCAAACTCCACACAGAAAGTCACTGGGTTGGCCAGGGCTCAAACGCAGAATATTTTTGTTCTGAGGCAGCAGCGCCACCTACTGCTTCACAGAGATATCACATTTGTAACCTCATGATGAATATTTTCATTCTTCTGATAGAGCACTTAAAATCAGATTGGATTAATGCTCTGTTACGTACATGTCCATACAATGAAAGACTGAAACACCCTGTGTTTCAGTTAACCGGGTCATCCTTGTGCTGCTGGTGCTGGTGTTGTGTCTCCTCCTGCACAGCACACTGTTCAGAGCCTCTACTCAGCCCAGACTCTCAGGTACATTCACACAGGTGTTATTCAGATCTTTCATTTTTCACATTTCAAAGTCACATTTATTTAAACTGCACCTTTCATACACAATGGCAACTCAAAGCACCTCACGTTAAAATCATAGATTTAGAATCACAATTATAAAAACAGGCAGGAAATAATGCTAAAAACCATAGACACTGTATGACAAGATTTTAAATGAAAAGATTATTCATAATATTTTGTGACATCTGTTTAATTTAATTTTAATTATCATGAGCTTGTTTAAAGTTGTAACAGCTACTTACTTGGGAAGTAAAAGAGTTGTATATTACATTAGTGTCGGTGTGGTCAGTTTTACATGTCAGCTTACAACCTCCCCGCCCTGATTCCTCTCAGATCACAGGAAGACCCTTGTAAGTGCAGCCCGAGTTCCTGCAGTGACAGTGTCAGAGGCGGATAATGTCGTTCCTGTCATCATCTGTGCATCAGAGGAACGTGTGGGCGCAACCATGGCAACTATCAACAGCATCCACAGCAACACAGATGCCAGTGTTTTCTTCTATGTTGTTACCCTTCGTGATGCTGTAACACTGACAAAGTGTGTCATCTTTTAAACTGTAAACCACATTAATTTTTGAAGATGCAATGAGTGATGATTTCGTCTCATAGGTGATCTGTTCTTACGCTGTCTTCTGAGTAATATTGCCTGTCATAGTGAATTTCTTGTTTATTAACCTGCTTTTCCTCTTCCTAGACAGTACATTGAGAAGTCTACACTGAAGGGCATCAAGTATAAGATAGTGGAATTTAACCCCATGGTTTTACAAGGAAAAGTGAAGCCAGATTCCTCTCGACCTGATCTGTTACATCCAGTGAGTTCTGGGTTTGCTTTTGTTTAAACATACCTGGATGAAGCTTTAAATGTAGAGCTACAGGTTGAAAGAGCTGAAATAACTTTGCTTTTGTTTTGCAGCTCAACTTTGTGCGCTTTTACTTACCTCTGCTTGGCATCAACTATAAGAGGGTGATATACTTAGACGATGACATCATTATGCAGGGTATGTGAAATATAAATATACACAGTAATTTGTGTCTGGTAGGGTTGTTCCACAGAAACCATTCACCCAATGCAGTTATATACTTTGCATTTTTCATTCCTAGGCCACCAGGATGCCCCCAAACTATTTAGAGTAACATTATAGAGCATTTAAGTTCAGCTTTTTCATAAAACCATTAAGCTTCTTATGTTGTGTCTTTATTACAAAAAAAATACTGTAAAATCTGGTGAAAGGTTAGGGTATGGGGAGGGAAAAGGGGCTTTGTTTTTAAAGATCCAAGAATATTTTTGAAGGATTTCTCTAAGTTGCAAGATACGGACATTTTTAAAGGTTTTTCACAATGTTCTATCTAACTTAACTTAGCTGAATGACCAAAATTCAGCATGTGTGATATGACTGTCCATAACCATGCCTATGGCCTGCAGATCCAGATTCAGTTTCAGATCAGACCGCGCTAGTTTCAGGAGGTTCAACATCCACATCCATAAACATTAAACCCACTGTTGCAAGGTTAATTCATTAGAATAAATGAGTAACTTACATTTTCACTTACAGTATGAATGTCTTTTGTTACAACTATTTCTGAATAGTGTTTAGTTTGCTGTCACTTTCATATAGTGTTGTGACAGGTAAAGTGTATATGCTTTACCACTTAAAGGTTTTTATGTTCTCCAGGAGACATCAAGGATCTGTTTAATATCGAACTGAAGCCAGGACATGCCGCTGCATTTGCCACTGACTGTGACCTGCCCTCCACACATGAGATGGTGCGCAGCATCGGCATGCAGGTGCACTTTTATTTCTTCTATCTGTTCTGTTAAACTGCCAGTGTGAAGGGTTAATGCAATGGGCATTTATCAAACCAGGAGAAGACACTTTTTAATGCAAGAATGTGGATTGGTCTGCTTCTTGCATTTAGCTAGTAGCAGTAACTAGATGTGTGCAGTGGATGTGTATACTGTTTTTCTTTTTTTAGACTTTTTTGCAGACTTCAAACTTTGATAATTGAAATATAGTATCTTCTCATCTGAGCTTGTCCCCTAGACAACCTACATGGGCTTCCTGGACTACAGGAAACAGGAAGTTCAAGACTTGGGCATTAACCCCAGAGACTGCTCTTTCAACCCTGGAGTCTTTGTGGCAGATATTAGGGAGTGGAAGAAGCAAAAGATCACCAAACAGCTGGAGAAATGGATGGAGGAGAATTTCAGGTCAGATCTGGTGTGAAAAAGGCCTTCACACTCTGAACTTAGTTTTGTTCTTAGCCAAAAAATTATATTGCTAAGAAAACCACAGATGTTTCAACATAGCTACCTTCTTCATCTGGTGCAAAAAAAAAAAAAAAACTTGTAGAATTTCTTCACCCATTAACTGGATAACTACAACTAACAATTTATTTGGCATTTTGATGGAATTTAACTCCTTTTCTAATCAACAAAACATGAGTGTGATTTCCAGAACCTTTTAAGAGATTGTGTTTTAAAATAACAACCCCCTTCATACAAACTGTACGAAGGGGTTCTCCGGTTCAATTATGCAAGACTCCACACATATACAGCAAGAAGGATGTTTTACTTGCAACTTAGACATCATGTGTAACATGCAGTGTCTCATGTGTCTGCATGCTTCTAATCAGAAGGCCTTCCCTTTGTCTTCACCAGGCAGAACATATACAGCAGTGCCATGGCAGGAGGCGTGGCGACTCCACCCATGCTAATAGTTTTTCATGACAAATACACAACACTTGACCCACTGTGGCATGTCAGACACCTTGGTAAGACCAACACTCATCTTCAACTGCAAAAGAATTTCAGTAGTCTAAGTGTCTAAATGGATCGGAGGTGAAAACTAGGTATCGGGAAACACAAACAAAAATTTAAATTATACCTTTTGGAAAAAAAAACAATCTGTTCTCTTGTGAAAATGACAGCAAACATTAGATGAAAAAATTGTAAGCATTGTACATACAGTATATAATAGGATGCTAAATAGTGCTAGTTTATTGAAAATGCTCTTAGTGTATCCTTAACTACCAAACTCACACTAAAAACTTTCCTAAACTAAACTGAAACTGCAGCTCTCCTGCAGTCCTTCAAGAGGTTAAGTCGATAACAAGTATGAAAATGCTGTGGTACCATCTAATTTTACAGTTTTTCTGAGTCGCTTTTGTACATTTCTCAGATCAGAAATGAAATTCTGTAAATTACTTGTTCAGTCTCCACATCATCAAGTCACTTGTGTACATCATTTAAACAATTTCTCATTGTTTTGAACACATTGCAAATGCTTTGGCACATTAATGCAGCTGATTATGTACAAATGTTTGTTGTTTTCTACATTACTAGTCACTTACATCATGTTGATCTAGACGTATTATATAGTTCTATGCTGAAGAACCAATGATCAGACAGTTCTATACTATAAAATAGTTCAGAGGTGCCTCTCATAAACCTTCAGTTGGCAAGTATGTACAGTACATAAAGACAGAGCACAACAGGGTGATAGAATTTCTGACAATGGAAGAACAAGGAAATGATCAGCATCAAAATCAGAATCATCTTTATTGGCCAGATGTGTAGGACACAAGGAATTTGACTCTGGTACAGTGGCTCTCAATGTGCATGTACTGTACATATCCCCATGCAAGGTAACTGCAAGGAGCAAGTAAATAATACCAACATAAGGCTATGTAGTATAACAAAGTAAACAGTGTAAACAAGCAATAAACAATGCAGGATAAACAGTATAAACAGGCAAAGGAATGTTCAATAGGAAGCAAGATAAAAATAGAATAAAAATATAGTACTTAAAAATAGAGACCTGTATGGATCTGTATAATCTGTACGAGGTATATTTACAGGTATTGCACTGAGGGTTATTGTCCAGTCATACTGTCGTGGGCTAAGTGTTAATCAGAGTGATGGCCTGGGGGAAGAAACTGTCCCTGTGCCTGGTTGTCTTTGCGTACAGTGACCTGTAACGCCGTCCAGAGGGTTCAAACATTGTGTCCAGGGTGTGAGGGGTCTGCAGAAATAATCTCTGCCCTCCTTTTGACCCATGAGGTGTACATGTCTTCCATGGAGGGCAGGCTCACACCAATTACCTTTTCTGCAGTCCTGACTGTCCGCTGAAGTCTGTACTTGTCCTGTTTGGTTGCTGAGCCAAACCAGACAGTGATGGAGGTTGTGACAAAGTGGGTGAGAACACTCCACTTGTCCCTAGGCTAAGTCATGTATGTTTCCTAATGCCTTAACCTGTGTGTTAAATGTTTGTATTTACTAGGTTAATCACTTCCTCATTTTGTATGCTCTCTGATGTCATAGGGTTGATTGGTATGTCTCTGAATATAGTGTGGTCCAGTACAACAATACCTTTAACTATGACCTCAATAATAAACATATAACTGAATTTATACATTTATGACAATTTCACCAAAAACTGAAATATTTTTGCTTCATAAACACAGATGTTGTGTGTTTTCAGTCATTGTCATCAAAACTTGAGCCATAGTTTTCATATGAAAATACTTACATTACAGATACTTCCATTTTACATTACACTGTTGTATTGACAACATGACTAAACATTCTAACTGCCATGTTCGTAAACGACGACACAAGGGCTTGACACTGACATGTTCATTGGCATGTTTATCATTGAGGTCATAGGTGGTGTTGTACTGGACTACATTATATTCCTCAGCTACATACATGGCAGTGTCAGAAAATTAGGCACACTTTGAATTGCAGAAATGTGCAGCTTTGTGTGTTTTCAGTCATTGTCATCAAAACCTGAGCCACCATTTTCATATGAAAATTCTTAAATTACAAATACTTCCATTTTACAATACAGTGTTGTATTGACAACACGACTAAAGCTTCTAACATGTTCACTGGCATAAGTATTTAGTTTTGAGAGATAAGCTAAGGACTTTGAGCAAATGACATGCTTTTGAGGCTAATCCATTGTGTGATGCTGTTTGTAGAAATTGTTTTGAGAAATGCTCTTATTGTTTTGCAAATGTCAAGGATGTTTTGGGAAATGTACCAAAGTGACTGAGAGAAACTAGGCAAAATGCCGTAATGAGGATATGGGACACATTACTCCCAACAATCTGAGAGAGATACTGAGTTTGATGCGGTGATCCACAGTGATGTAACTGCTTACGTTAAGAAAAGAAAAGTGTACAAACTACATACAGTAGCTAGTGCATCTTTGAACTGAACTGAAAGAGGTGTAGCCCTGTGATGGACTGGCGACCTGTCCAGGGTGTACCCTGCCTCTCACCCGCAGTTGGCTGGGATTGGCTCTGGCCCCCCGTGACCCCGTTTGGGACTAAGCGGTATAGAAAATGGATGGATGGATGAAAAAGGTGTACCCCCTCAAGTCTGCAGGGGCCCAGCAGAGGGTGCTATGCTACACACAACACATTGACTGTATAGGAAAACTAATAAAAACAAAATGAACAAAAACAGTAAATGACATGACATTATAATAGAGAAGCACCCCCTTTACAGTAATACATGGCAAGTAATGGAAAGTGGACTACAACATTATAGATGTAGATAATCTTATAATATTGCACTCAGTTGTAAAAAGCATCCCTTTGTGTCCAGGCTGGAGTCCAGATGCCCGCTACTCAGACAGCTTCCTACAGGAGGCACATTTGCTGCACTGGAATGGTCCATTCAAACCTTGGAGCTACCCTGCTGTTCACTCGGATCTGTGGGAGAGGTGGTTCATCCCAGACCCCTCCGGAAGATTCTCCTTGGTACGACCTGACAGCGAGAGCTGAGATGTGTGGAACATATCTGAGCCACAGTAAGACAGGAAGCATGTTCAGGACTTGGACAATGGACAGTGATGGGAGGTATCATAGGACACATATAGAGAATGTAATACAGAGGAATGAAATGTATGAGAAACAGTGTTGGTATAGTGGAAGCTCAGTGTGTATGCTAAATGGAAAAATGTGACCAATCTGCTATCTAAAGTAGTCTGTATTCTGGTGAAAGTAAAAAGCTCACATTGACAAGATGTTTGTGTTTTTGTCAAATATGTTTCCCTGCTAACATAAATATAATTTTTGGACACCTATTTTTCACATTTTCTCATCTTACCAGTACATTCACACTTTATATATGACACTGGCTCCTTAAGTAAACAGCATGCTCAGTTTATACTAAGGAGATTAGAAGACAGTAGTGGGGACAGGATTCTGTACAGCCAGGCCAGGGACAGTGTGACAAAGGAGATCAGAGCAGCAAAGAGGAGCTACTCTGAAAAGCTGAAAGCTCAGGTTTCAGCCGACGACCCCTCATCTGTGTGGAGGAGCCTAAAAAACATCACTGGCTACAGGAAGCATCTTCCCCTGCTGTAGAGGATGGTCAACTAGCAGACAACTTGAATGAGTTTTACTACAGGTTTCAGAATCAACACCCCCCACCTTCCCCACCTCAGACCCAATGGCTACTCCCCCACAGTCACCACCCTTCCCTCCAGCCCCCCACCTCTAACGATCTGTGAAAAGGCCTCTTTAAAAAACAAAAGATCAACAACATGCCCACATGGCATGACCCCTTCCTGCCTGAAAGTGTGTGCTGATCAGCTGGCCTCCATCTTCACACTCATCTTCAACTGGTCACTGGAGCTGTGTGAAGTCTCCTCCTGCTTCAAATGCTCCATCATCATCCCGGTCCCCAAGAAAGCCCTCCATCAGTGGACCGAACAACTACAGACCTCACTTCCAGATACAAACTGACAAACTGGTAATGGCCAACCAACCGGACGTAGTAGTGGTGGACAAACAGAAGAAGAAGGCTGTAGTGATAGATGTAACAATCCAGAGTGATAGCAACATCAGAAAGAAGGAACACGAGAAGCTCGAAGATCCCAGGAACAACATCTGAGATCTCTGTCCAGAAGAGTGCAGTCCTAGGAACAGCTAAGATACTGCGCAGGACCCTCAAGCTCCCAGGTCTCTGGTAGAAGACCCGAGCTTGAAGGAAGGAATAAAAGACCGTCCCGAAGTGGGGAATGTATATACGTATATATAATGCTTTCCTTGTGGCCTCTCCATGGTTCCCATTTGCCTGCGGGATCCTAAGGTACTTGTAGTTGTCCTCAACATAGTAGTGGTGGACAAACAGAAGAAAAGCTCATTGGGTAACACCACTGACTTTGGTACAGAAGGTCAGCGGTTCAACCCCCAGTCAGTGCATGGTCAATATCCCGTCTGGGTCCTTAGGCAAGGCCCTTAATGCTACCTGCCTACCTCATCGATAATGGAAGTTGCAAGAATTAGAGTCACACCGGCTCGGACATCTCCCAGGTCAACGAGGTCCATGTCAGGTGTTGAGAAACCAGGGCAACCTGATGAGAAGTGGGCTACTGCAACAAGACATTCATGGACAAGAGAACAGAGAACAGGGAACTATGGGAATGCTACTATACAAGTAACCCCAGTGAGAGGGGTTACATACAGTGCCTTGCGAAAGTATTCGGCCCCCTTGAACTTTGCAACCTTTTGCCACATTTCAGGCTTCAAACATAAAGATATAAAACTGTAATTTTTTGTGAAGAATCAACAACAAGTGGGACACAATCATGAAGTGGAACAAAATTTATTGGATATTTCAAACTTTTTTAACAAATAAAAAACTGAAAAATTGGCCGTGCAAAATTATTCAGCCCC